AAATTTACGTCCCTGATGCATGTGCTTTTTGTTTTGCGGGGTTGCCGCCCTAGTCTTCTACCCTTCCTCTTGTACGCCGGACAAGTCGCCTTTCCGTTACCCCGATTAGCCTCACGCTGGTGCGGACTGCCCCCCCAGACATGCGACGTCTTGATTTTTTCAGGACGGGTCCCTGGAAGTCCCGACCCGTTCCCTGGGACCCGTTTTGACGGTCCTCAGGCCCGGCGAGGGCCCCCCGAGGCCGAAATTGGCCAAAAACCACCCGTCCTGATTTCTTCACGACGCGATCATGTCTGGGTCTGCCTCGCCGCCGACGGAACAAGTTTTGAGGGGTTCTGAGTTCCAGGGGCCGCCCGTACAGTAGGCACGTCAAAGTCAAACGCCGGCCTGCCTGCAGGCGCCCCGCGGGTTCCCCTTGCATCCCCCGAGGGCCCCGGGGTTCCACTGAGGTCTTGGGGCGCCTGGGGAAGGTCGTCGTGGCCGACGAGTGATCAGGAGGGGGAAAAACACACAGACACAGAAAATATGGAAAACTATGGGAGGTGGGGGGAAGAGAAAAACCGAGAAAATATGGGAAAATATGGGGAATCGCTTTATTTGTGTGTATTTATTTGTGTGTCCCAGGGCCCCTTTAAGTGAGGCCCTGCACTTCTCACGCCGAGACTTCTCGCATAGTGGCCTTCGGCATCGCCGCCCTGGGGTTATCGAGGACCTCTCGCACAGCGGTGCACGTGCGGCTACCTGCCCGCCCCCCGAGGGCCGGGCATGCACGTGCTCCCACCGCTTCCCTTTTGGGCAGGGCCCCGGCGTGAGACCTCCGCGACGTGGGCTCCTGGGAGGCCTCGACCCCTCCCCGGGATCAGCTTCTCCCCCCGAGCTGTCTTGCGAACGTCGGGGGCGGCAAAGAGGGGGGTGATGACGAGGGGGGGTGGAAATCATGGCGTGGGCCATGATATTTCCCCCAGATTTCATGGCGCCTCTTCTTATTTCATTACGTCCCTGGCCCCCCCGCTGGGCCGCGAACATGCCGCCGGTCATGATTTGCACCCCGCCCTCTTGGACACCCCTCTCTTGGCCGCTCCCGAGAACGCCCCGGGCCTGGCACGGGCACCCGGGACGCCGAGCAAAAAAAAAACTGGCAAACCTTCGGCGGCCTCTTGTATCTGGGTCGGGACCTCGCGGTGGGCCTCTCGGGAGTCAGGGGGGGAGGCAGTTTGGGAGCCTCTGGAGCCGAGTTCTGGGGCTTCTGGAGGCTTCCTTGGGGCCTCTTGGGGGGCCTCCTGGGGCTTCCTGGGGGCCTCCTGAGAGCATCTTTGGGCCTCCTCGCGGGCCTGGCCTGTCCACGACGCCAGGGCGCCCGGGGACTCTGGCGCTTCCGCCCCGCGGCCGCAGAGGCTCCGACCCCTTCCCGGGGGCCCGTGCGGCGCCCCGGATCCACTTCTGGCCTGAAGTCGGGCCTGTCCCTCCAGAGGAAGAAGATTCAAGAATAGTCCCAAAATCGTATGGGGACGATTTGTGGACCATGTTTGACATTTTTTTTTAACATTTTTTGGCCATCTCTGATTCTTCGCCAGAAATCCCCCTGTAGGGGGACAGGCCCGACTTAATTCTAGCCCCGGGGGCCCGAAAACGGCCCTTTAGGGCCGACATCGAGGAAAAACAACTTTTCGGCGTCACTTCAGCATGCTAATGCTCTGTGTGCGTCGCTCCTCCCCCCAGGGGCGACGCGCGCACCGAGAGATCTTATAGTATATGCGTCGTGGCGGGCGCTTTTTTGCCACGCCGCTCGGGAAACGATCTACTACACGATGGGTCTGCCATATGTTCGGGTCGGACGCGCGCCTCCAAGGAGGACATGTCGTATTAGTGTGCCTCTCTGCGCCCCATCACTTTCCCAGGGCCCGAAGACGGCCCCTGAGGGCCGACATCGATGAAAAACGCTTCGATTGAAAGCATCATCTCGTCGTTCAGGAGATCCGATGTTCAATGCGAGGTCCCCGGAAGTCCCGATCCCCATCTTTTGTTGTTTCGTTGCTATGTTGCTTTAATCGTATCAATCTGTTATTCGGCGGCGCGCCCAGGGGGGAAGTGAGAAAGGGCGGGCCTTCTCAGAAGGCTCGGAAGTCCCCCGGCCTTCTGAGAAGTTTTGTGAGCCTTCCCCGGAGACAGGAACACCTTGTCAGAAGGCGCAAGGGCTTTTGAGAAGTCCCGCCGCCTTCTGAGAAGGCCTTCTCCTTGTCATTCCCCCCCCCCTCGCTCGCCGCCAAGTTATGTGCCACTGCTCGCGACCATTTTTGTTTTTGCGGTCCCAGGGCCCCGCGAGGGCCCCAGAGCACCAAAACGGCGACCAGAGACCCGACCTGCTTTTTTTCACGACGTTGGGTGTCTGGGTCTGCCCGAGGCGGGAATTTACACATGACCGCCGCCTGGAGGATTCATTTCGGGGACCTCGGCAGGCGGTGGATATGGACAGATTCGGCCCCCCAGGGGCCAAAACATCGAAGACGCCTACGGCGAATTACCGCCGCCCCCTGCCTTTTTGGAAACGCCTATGTGGCCGAACGTTGTTGCCAGAGGCCTGCCAAGCTATCGGACCATGTGTTCCCCGAATCGGTTTGGAAAGCGTTCGGGGAACACGGTGGGGGAGGAGGAAGGAGAGGAGAGGAAGGAAAAGGGAGAAGGGAGGAGGAGGCCTCTTGGGTGCCTCTTGGGCTACTGTAGGGTTTTGTTGGGCCATCTTTGCGGTATTGGAGGCATCTTGGGACTGTCTTGGAAGCCATTTTGGGGCTATATTGGGGCTTCTTGTGGCCATCTGGATCATCTTGGACGCATCTTGGAGGCCATCTTCGGCCACGTTGGCCGTCTTGGAGGCGTCTTGGGACCGTCTTGGAGGCTATCTTGTCCGTCTTGGAGGGGTCTTCCGTGGACTTTAAGGTCCTGTATGGTCTCTCCGTCTCTGTTGAGGCCCTCTTGGGGCCGTTTTGTGGGCCTCTTGGGTCATCATTGGGCCATCTTGGAGGCCTCCTGCTTTTCTGGAAGAGCTCATGTGTCCGAATCGTTGGGCCCCCTGCCTTTTTGGAAACGCCTGTGTGGCCGAGAGTTGGGCTAGAGCTTGGCCAATCTGTCGGACTATGTGTTCCCCGAGCCTGTTTGGAAAGCTTTCGGGGAACACGTGGGGTAGAATGAACATGAGGAGGTAGAGGAAGAGGCATAGGAAGAGGAGGATGCTTCTTGGGAGCCTCTTGGGGCACTCGGTGCCTGCTGGGAGCTTCCTGGGGCCCCTTGGAGGCTATTTGGGGCCTCCTTGGGCCTGCTGGGGGCCTTTGGGGGATTCCTGGGGGCCCCTTTGGGCGTCTTAGAGCGTTCCTGCCTTGTCTGACGCCGTCGGAAGCCGTCATGGGGGCCTGTCTGGGTCGTCTTGGGGCCCTCTTGGGGCATTTCAGGGCCGTCTTCGAGGCCATCTTGGGCGTCTGGGAAACCTCCTGGGCCGCCTTGGGGCCCTCTTGGGGCCGTCCTGGCGGCATTTTTGGGCCGTCAGAAGGTCATCCTGGAGACCTCGTGGGCGACCTTGGATCGATCTTGGGGGGCCCTTGGGCCGTCTGGAGCCGTCGGAATGCCGAGAAGAAGCAACTGCCCAGATCCATCAAAAACCTAAGGAAACAGTAGTGATTTGGGTCTCTTCGCGCCCTCCTGGAGGAACTCTTGGAGGCCTCTTGGGCCGTCTCGGAGGCCTCGTGGGGTCCTCTTGGTCCGTCTTGGGCCATCTTGAGGCCATCTGAGGCCGTCTTGGGTGCATCTTAGGCCGTCTTGGAGGCATCTTGGGGCCATCTTAGCCGTCTTCGAGGCCAGCTCGGCCGTCTTGGAGGCTCCTTGGGCCGTCATGGGGCAATCTTGGAGGCCTCGTTGGCGATCTTGGTGGCCTCTTGAGCCGTCGGAATGCCGAGAAGAAACAAATGCCGAAATTTTTCAACAACGTAGGGAAAATGATTGATTTTGGTCTCTTCGGGCCCTCCTGGAGAACCTCTTGGAGGCCTCTTGGGCCGTCTTGGAAGCTCTTGGGGGCCTTTTGGCCCGTGTTGGGCAATATTGAGGCCATCTTAGGCCGTCTTGGATGCATCTTGGGCTGTCTTGGAGGCATCTTGGGGTCATCTTCGCCGTCTTGGAGGCTATCGTGGCCGTCTTGGAGGCCTCTTGGGGCTCTCTTGGGGCCGTCTTGGCGGTCTTGAGCCGTCGGAATGCCGAGAAGAAACAAATGCCAAAGTTCTCCGAACACTTATGGGAAATCACTGATTTTGGCCTCTTCGGGTCCTCCTGGAGGACCTCTTGGAGGCCTCTTGGGTCGTGTTGGGCCGTCTTGGTGGCTTCTTGGGCGAACTTGGAGGTATTTTGGACTCTCTTGGGCAGTCTTGGAGGCCGTGTTGGACCATCTTGGGCGCACTTGGAGGCTATCTTGGACCATCTTGGAGGCCATCTTGGGCCAACGTGGCCATCTTGGAGGCCATCTTGAGCCGTCTTGGAGGAATTTCAGGGGGATTGAGATCCTTTTCGGGTGGCCGGCGGGACGGGCCGAAGCCCCATGGGGGAGTTCTTTCGGAAAAAGAACCCAAACCAAAACCGAAAGGGTCCAGCACGCCGGGCACCCCTGTGGCAAGCCAACAGGGGGCGGCGGATCCACCGCCGGCTGGGGCACCAGCCCAGAGATCCGATGTCGTGATTTTTTCAACACGCGGCCCTCGGAAGTCTCGAACCATTCCCCAGGACCAGTTTTTCACCTTGCGTCGTTTTTTGACGGTCCCAGGGCCCGGCGAAGGCCTCCAGCGGCCGAAATCGGCGAAAAACCTCCGTCTTGATTTTTTCAAGACGTTGGATCTCTGGGAGGACGTCGGTTCCCAGGCGGTGGATATGGATAAATCCCCGCCTCGCAGCCCGGGGATGTGGACGTTTCCTGGCGGTGCACCCCCGCGCGCGCCCGTGTGCGCCCGGGCGCCACGGCGGTCCCCATGGCGACGCCGCAGCGGCGGCACCGGCCGCCCCTGCCCGACGGCACGGCGGCGCCGCCCCACTGCCAGGCCCCTCTGGCGTTCTCTTGAGCGTGCTTCTTTGTTGCTCGGGGCATACATGGGCATTTTAGCCCCCGGCCCCCCCCCCTCCCCGCATTACGTAAGGCCCCTCCCCCTCAGTGGGCTCCGGGCACTGCCGCCGTGCGCACGGCGGGGGGGAGGCGTTACCTTGTATCCCCCCCCCTCTGGCCCCTCCCCCCCCTGTAATGCCCACTGGCGCCGAAAACAAAGAGACGCGCTCCTTTGGTGGGAGGCTCTCGTCGGACGCTGTGGTCCGGGCGTCGCATCTTTCTTCTCGCAACGGGCACTTTTTGCCCGGGCTCGGGCCCCGAGACCATCGCAGATGGATCCGGCAGGCACAAAGTGCCGCAGGCAGACGGGGTCCAGGGTTCTGGTCGTGATTTTTTGCGGTGTTGCAGTTGTGGTTCGACCTCATGTGTGGGGGGGACGGTTTTCCCAACCATCCCGTGGTTTTAGGTCCTGGTGTTGAAGCAGCAGCGCCCCGCGTCACTCCTTTCTCCTCCCCCCCCACGCCCTCCCTCCTTCTATCCCAGCCTCTGCTCTCTGCGTGTCCACATCGGGACACCCCTCTCACGTTGTGTGCCCCCGCAGGGAGCTCCACCGAGGCCCCCAGGGGGTGGGGTCGTGGGCGACAACCATAGTATCTGTGTCCGCGGCCTCGCTGGCCGGGCCCCTGGGCGGCGACCCCGCGGAGACGGGGCATGTCTTTCGGAGGTTGATAGACCTCCTACCCTGACACATCGATCAGCGAATTGGCCGTTTTCGGTTCGCGAGAGGGCGTCGCTGCCGTCTTTTTTGCGGGTCCAGGTCCGTCGGTTTCGGTCCTAGGCCGTTTTCAATGACGGGTGGTTTATTAAAGGGGGTTGACCACCGCCGATTCTTGGCGGACGCCCAGCGCGGAACTTATTCGTGCGGCCGCCGCGGGATCGCGCCCTGGAATGCATACCGTGAGGGCGCGGACACGAATACATTCGCCCCCCGTGCGGGGGGCAACGTGCGGTCCCCCTTTGGCGTCGCGGGGGTGGGGGAGGGGCTTTTGTTGGGGGCCCGCCGGACGCCTTCGGAGATTCTCGGGAGCCTTCGGAGGCGAGGGATGTGGATGAGGAGGAGGAGGAGGAGGAGGAGGAGGAGGAGGAGGAGGAGGAGGAGGAGGAGGAGGATGATGAGGAGGAGGAGGAGGAGTGGGCGGAGGGAGGAGGAGAGGAGGAGGGATGAGGAGGAGGAGGAGGCGGAGGAGGAGGAGGAGGAGGATGAGGAGGAGGAGGAGGAGGAGGAGGGAGGAGGAGAGGAGGAGGCGCAGGAGGAGGACGGAGGAGGCGAGGAGGAGGAGGAGGAGGAGGAGGAGGAGGAGGAGGAGGAGGAGGAGGAGGAGGAGGAGGAGGAGGAGGAGGAGGAAGGAGGACGAGGAGGAGGAGGAGGAGGAGCAGGAGGAGAGGAGGAGGAGGAGGAGGCGGAGGCAGGAGGAGGAGGAGGAGGCGGAGGAGGAGGAGGAGGCGCAAGGAAGAGGACGGAGGAGGGCGGAGGAGGAGGAGAGGAGGAGGAGGAGGAGGAGGAGGAGGAGGAGGAGGAGGAGGAGGAGGAGGAGGGAGGAGGAGGACGAGGAGGAGGAGGAGGAGGAGGAGGAGGAGGAGGAGGAGGAG